AGACAGGGGGAATGGATGAGGGTGCTGACAACACAGTGGACAGTGACAGGGATGGCAGAGTATGGAGCCTCTAGTGGGAGAGGAAGGCTCTCTATCTGATGACTTTATATCCATGCTCAGATGCCCAGGAGCTCAGAAAGTAACTGACTGTGATTAGTAATTATGAGATATATAGAGATTAGAAATGCATGTGCATCTTAGTGTCAATTGTATTGAAAATGATTTTTTCTGTATGAAACTCTGTATTTTAATAGTGAAATGGAGATCTTCTTAAAAGTTAAAACCTCATTTAATTTTATGTCTTATAGGGTTTATACTGAGTACAATATTGTATAACTGTATTAATTCAACTGTAAACCTAAAAATTTACAGCCAATTTTGAAGGAGATGCACCTTAGCTCTGGAAATTGTTATTGAGTATGTCAATACTGTTGTAATGAAATGCTTCTTCTGATTGTGTGGTTATTAAATAAATAATTTTAAAAATGTAGGAAATGGCATATCTTGAAATGGAGATCTTTAAAGGGTAAAAACTCATTCAATTTTATATCTTACAGGGTTTATACTGAATTCAATATTATATCATTGTATTAATTCAGCTGTGAACCTAAAACTTTACAGCCACTTTTGAAAGAGATGTACCCTTGCTCTGGAATGTGTTACTGAACATGTTAAAGCTGTAATGAAATGCTTCTTCTAATCATGTGGTTATTAAATTTTTAAAAAATTCTTCAAAGCATAGAATTTTGCTCCTTAATAATTAGTAGATGTGAAAAACATTACCACTGAAATCTACCTGATGACTTTATACCTATGCTCAGATGCCAAGGTGCTCAGAAAGTAACTGACTGTGATTAGTAATTAGGAGATATATAGAGATTAAAAACGCATGTGCAAACATCTTAGTGTCAATTGGATTAAAAATGATTTTTTTCTGTATGAAACTGTGTATTTTAATAATGAGATGGAGATCTTTTTTAAAGGTTAAAACCTCATATAATTTATGTTTTAAAAGGTTTATACTGAATACAATATTGTATAACTATATTAATTCAACTGTAAATCTAAGAATTTACAGCCAATTTTGAAACAGATGCATCTTAGCTCTGAAAATGGTTATTGAATATGTCAACGCTGTTGTCGTGAAATGCTTCTTCTAATTATGTGGTTATTAAATAAATAATTTTAAAAAAGTCTGATCTGAGTGGCATTATATTGGGACTCTAAAGAAAGTGACTTGTAAGTGGATTGCAGTATATCAACCACAGCACCACTTCTGGCTTACTGTGTGGCCTTTGACTAGCTCTTTGGCTTTCTTCATCCCTGAAGTGGAACTAATAGACTCTGTCCCAGTTAAGGTCACTTCCAGAACTGGGTGGGGCGATCTGTAGGATTCAGCCCAGCCAGCTTAAGGTGATAGAACTACTGTTCTTGTTCTCAGGATTCAGCCCATGTTCCCGAGGCATCCTTCCATACTGAGAAGCAATCCCGCCTCTTCTTTGATGTGAATGGTTTGCTTAAATCTTTATTTCAGTTCCCTGTGCTGAATCAACCACATAGGGGCTCAGATAAAGACTAGTGCTCAGAGGAAGAAGGCCATTGTGAGGCCCAGGGGTGGATGGACCGCCCCACTGTGCAGGCTCTTCAGCCTCTCTCTCACCACTTAGCTGAGTCGCTTGAATGTCCTTTTGCCTCAGCAGGTCTTCCCATCCCCGTGGATCATTCTGAAGTGTCACAATGCAAGCCTGACAGCTGTCTAAGGCGAGAGGGTCATATCCCACTGCCTTCTCCTCCATAGACAGGAGGAAAGAGGTCAGGACAAAAGCTGGCTGTCCCACAAGATGAGGTGCTTTGTCTGATGTATCACTTGTAAATACCGTCTAGCATAAAAGGGCTAATTAGCCCAAGGGGCTTTCAACTTGAGTCCTTGGATTCTTAAGGACTCTTGGCAAACCTGTTCTGACAATGAGAAATTTAAAATTCCTGAGGATTCCTGAGCTTGAGGATCTGCTCCAGATTTGCTGTAATTCTCCCCCTCTTCTCCCAGGGAACATTGCCTCCTGCAGCACTTACCAGCGCTTTAAAAAATGAATAATGGAGCGATATTATGAGTATCAATCTCTCCCCTGACCATAAGCTCCTCAAGGGCAGGGGACCTGTCGTATTCATCTTTGTATCCCCTCCAAGCAAGGAGCACACATCTCAATCAACGTCTGAGGAATGGAAGCCGTTTGAATTTATACCTCGGGTCACGGTGTGCAGTTCAGAATGGCACTGGAGCTGAAGGCAAGCTAGGACTCATTTATCTCTTGCTGCTGAACTCGGCACTGGTTTTCCAGCAGAATCAAGTCATCCCAAAGGCACTTTCTCCAGCCCCAGGGAGGACCTTAAAGCGATTCTATTGGTGCTTTTGGTGAAAGTACTTTCTCTTTGTTCTTAAGGAAAGGTAAATGAAGCCTCAGGTCCTGCATGTTGCTGCTTTGCCATCCAGGGCTGGAGAAAGCATGTACGAAATTCGAACTGTACAGCCTACAGTGGTTAGGACTGTTCTAACCAAGCTTGGTCCTAATTAAACACAGGGGCGTCCTTCTCAATAGGTGCATGTCTTTGACTTAACTTTCTAGTTTATAAGCAGAAATACAGAAAATCATCTTTGGAAACCACTGCTTATGTCCAAGGGACGCATTCTTCTGAGTACTTATCTCGCATTAGTCTTACCCACTTCCAGAGAAGACCAGTGTTGATGTTTCCACTTACAGTTGAGTAAACTGAGGCACAAGAAGTTTAGCCAGAAAAGAAAGGACTGGAGATCAGCTCCGTTTGGATCCTCTCACTCCATCACCAACTTTCTCTTCTGCACACTGCTGGGAACGCGCGCGCGCTCGCTACTGCTCTTGTGTGTTTTTTCACTACGAAGCCCTCATTCTGCGCAGTTTTCCCCATTCCTCTTTTGGGAGACAAAGTCCAGTTCTGCAAGGTCTGGACACCCACCCACTCAGCCTTCTCCCTCTGGCGTCCCAAGGACCGCTGGACACTCCCCAGCTAAGTTCGGAGCCCCAGCCTAGGCTCTGACTGCTGGCTCCATGTCTGCCCTGCAGGGACCCTGACGCGGGGTGACTGCGCCGAGCTCCCCCGAACGGGTGGACCCGGGTCCGGTCCCGCCTCCCCTACCTGACGCCCTTGCGGCCCAAGGAGCCACAGCCCCCGCCCACCGGCGCGCCTGCGCTGCCATTGGCTGGGCTGGCTGCCGGTCTCCTCCGCTCAGTCCCGGAGGCAGGTTTAGCCTGAGAAGCCGCAGTCCCGGCGGCTCGGGCGGAGCGCGGGAGATCGGCCGAGTGCAGAGCGGCGATCGCAGCGGGCATGGCCCTGCGCGTGGGAGTCTCTGCCTCCAGCCCCGCCCGGGCGGCCGCGAACTTGGCGACGCGCTCCTGCGGCCCCGCCACTGCCATGTAGTCGCCGGCCCCGCTCCGCGCCGAGCGACCGAGCGGGACCAGCAGCCCGGCTTCCCCGGGAGGCTCCCAGCGCGCCCCGCCGCCCGGACAGCGACATGGGGGAGAAAGTTTCCGAGGCTCCGGAGTCGGTGCCCCACCGCTGCAATGTCCACGGCTCCCGGACCCTCGTCCCACCCGCGGCAGCCGCGTCCTCGGAGGGCGCTTCCTCGGCAGAGTCGTCTTCAGGCTCAGAAACTCTGTCCGAGGAAGGGGATCCCGGCCGCTTCTCCTGCAGGTCGCAGCCGCTGCCACCGCGGCCGGCGGGCGGCGCCTTGGGGACCCGGCTGCCCGCCGCCTGGGCTCCCGCGTGCGTGGCTTTAGAACGCGGAGTCCCTGCCCTGCAACTGCGGCCCCCCGGAGGAGCCGCGCCCCCAGCCCCGCAGGGCAGCAGCGCGTCGCAGGAGGAGCAGGATGAGGAGGTGGGCCTCGCCGATCCCATCCCGCGGGTTCCATCCCGCCCCCCTTGGGGTCCCCTTGGCGCAGACACTCCAGATCCCCACCCTATTGGCGGTGTCTTGGAGAGGGGAGTTCTGTCCCCAGCCTGGGATAGTGACCCACTGGGAGTTGTCCCTCCGCGTGTGTCTATGTGGGCTGCCCGGGGTGTGCTTTTGAAATGTCACAGAGTAGACCTCTACATATCTGTATTTGTTTGCATGTGATCTGGAAGCTTGGCTCGTCACCCCAACTTAGATCTGATTCTCTGAAGTGGGCGTCCTTAATCACTATACGCCCCGGGTGGAGCAGGAGATGTGGGAGCAGTGGCTGTGGAGTTGCACGGCTAGGTCTCAGAGGCGCGGCGGGTCCCCTGGGTGGCCCGCGGGGTGGGGGGTTGGGGAGGGTAGCTGCACCTTCGGTCCTCAACGGAGTGGGATCTCCCTCGCTAAGCCGGCTGCGCAGGCGTGTGCGCCTACAGCTCCCCTTCGGACCTGTTCCGTGGTGTCCAGGAAAGTACGGTCACCAAACCCCTGGGATGCATCCCACCTTGTTCAAAGGACTTTGTCAGACCTGGAAGGATGTGTACCACAACTTGAGGGTCGCTTCCTGACACACCGAGCTTTGGTGACCTCTTGACTGTAGTCTCTGGCTCCCCGCCCCCTTCCCAGCTTTGGAAAACTTGGGAGGAAGCAAAAGATTGTTCACATCTTTAAGATTGTTTGCTTTGGATCTTTCTTGTGGGAGAAATTATCTTGATCAGGCAGGGCCATAAATAAAACATGACCCTAGCATAGTCTCCTTGTGAAATTAATTCCTCAGTGCCAGAGTTGTTCCCCGCCCCCCCCCACTCTGCTGGGGTTAATGCTAGGAAACAATTGCCTTTGTCCCTAGAAGCGGAGGCCAGTGCCCAAGCAATAGGCCCCCTAGGTCCCTGCCGGCCTGGAAGCAAAGGCCGGATCTGGCTTTCGGAGGCAAGTCCCAGCCTGGTGTAGACGCAAAGAGTCTTGACTGGCGGTTGTCTAAGCCCCTGGCTGTAACCCTGAGCCGTTCCGGAATGTCTGTCGGGGATCACAGGGATCCCCAGCAGGTGTCTGGAGACTCCTAGAACTCTTCACTAGGGAGCTGTGAGACCTGGAGTACATTTTGTTCTTTAGTAGTTCAGTTCTGTAATCAAAATGAGAAATTTCAAGGTAAAGTTTATTTCTACATAAATATAAATATTCCTATTTCTGATCTGGAACTTTGGATTCATCCAAAGTTGAATCCAAAGTTCCAGATTGAGCCTAGCATTTGCCTGGAATTTGTTGAGTGCCACACCCACCATAGGTGCTGGCTAGAGAAAGCCAAATCTGTAGTAGCAACATTCCTTCTGGGGCACATCTCCTTTTGACAGAGCATGTTGCGGTTGTGTAGCTAGCTGGGATTCTACTTTAAACTAATGGTTCTGCTTAGCTAAGGTATGTGCATGGTGTTTGTGTGTGTGTGTGTGTGTGTGTGTGTGTGTGTGTGTGTGTGTGGTGTAATTTCTCAGTTTTTAACCTGATTTATGTAGCTGATTTATTGGCTCATCTCCAGGTGAGGTCCCCCCCCACACACACCCAGGGAAGGCAGGGAGGATTGGTTGAGTGACCTACCTCTTATGTTTCAGAGTAGGAGGACTAAGTAACTTTGCTCACCATTTGTGAAAGTTCAGAATTGGATGTAAACAGATAGTATTGCAATTTATGGTGTAACTTAGTCTAACCTCTATCAAGGGATGCTGGAAATTGTCCAAGAATGAAATCTTCACTTGCCTTGAGAATTCTGAAGTAAAACCAAAGTCATGTAGCAGCACCCCTCCTGCAAGCAGTGGAGAAGTGATAAAGTTGATGAGGGGAATGTGAGTTCTGTGTACATACATTAGTGATGGTGTGGTGTCCTGGCTCTTAACCTTTTGTGGAATTGTGGCTTCTTTAAGAAGTTAATGAAAACTCTCTTATACTTTCCTTAGAGCATACATTTTAAATTGCCATTCCAGAGGGCCCTGAAATGCCAGGTTAAAAACACTCTTTCATGGAAATAACAGGGTTTGACTTCTAGGTCTGCCACACTGACTGTGTGCTCATGGATCCTTCAACTTCTGTTAGCCTCAATTTTCCCATATCTTACATAGGAATAATAACAACAACATTCTGACTATACACACCACCTAACTTAATCTTAGCATAGTGGCTAATATTAAAATGCCAAGTAAATATGTGTGAATATTAAATTTTAAAATTCATTACTTATAAAATTTTATGAAATTTCAGAGTTGGGCTGTCTTGTTATTTTATTATTGCATAATTTATTTGCTATTTAGTTAGAATCTAAGGCCATGTCTAGTCAGTTTATTCCCATTTTATTAGTATAAGTGGGGAAACACTTGTTATTTGTCTCAGGTTGTGTTATAACAAGGAACTTGTTAGTATTAGTTATACTATAAGAAGGCCCTGTGCATAAAGCATTAAAAAGTTTAAGTGTAACTCATAAAATGAGGACTTCATTTCCATTTTAAAATTGTCTAGCTTAGGAAATTCATTTTTTCAAAGTTTTTTTTTTTTTTTTTTTTTTTAATAGCAACTGATTGCGTTGGTTTTCTTTTTCTATTTTTTTTTTCAAAGCAGGAAACTTCTGGTTCCTAGCCTATTATTGAAGTGCCAATTTTTTGACAATCTTGTTAAAGCTATTTTGAAGATGCTTAGCTAAGAAATTTCACAGTGTTTTATCTATTTCATATTTTATCTTATTTCTAGTATTTGTATAAACTTACAAAGTCTCATATGCTTAAATCAGACCTATGCACTTTTGGTGTCTTAAAAACTATAGTTTAATGTAGCATTGATAGATTTCTAATTTTTTTTTTTTTGAGATAGGGTCTGTCTGTAACATCAGCTGGCCTTGTGGCCTTGTAACTTGCTATGTAGACTAGGCTGGCCTTGAATTCACAGAATTTGTCTGCCTCTGTCTCCTGAATGCTGGGATTAAAGGCGTCAGCCACCATATCCAGCTTAAATTTCTAAAATTTTATTTTTCTTTTCTTGTGGTATGGAGATAAAACTTACAGTCTTACATGTGCTGGGCATGTACTTACCACTGAGCTACAGGCCCAGCCATTTTTGTACTTAGCATCAAACACTTGAGAGTTAGAGCTGATGGATGACTTTGTTAAAATAAATAAATAAATAAATAAATAAATGAATAAATAAATAAATAAAACAACCCTGCATCTGTCTTCTTCCTTATTCACAAACCTGTGGATATGGGGTCTCTGAGTGCTGAGGAGTAGCAGACTGCATTTCTGATAGATGCTTGGGGTTGGAGGGCTATTCTTTTGACGTTTCTGTGATTTGCCTCTAAGGCATTCTTCTTTGTCTCTTCCTCTAAGCACTTTGTGATGATTTCAATAAAGTACCATTTGGTAGCTGTTGGTGAGTAAACTCATGGGAGCAGGAATTTTGTCCTTGGATGCCTAGCACCTGCCTCTAATAAATTAGCAGGAGCTTAATAATTGTGTGTTGACTGAATTAAAAAATAATGGCATCTCTGGAAATAGTAGCATGTTTGGCTGAAGGGTGTGACTGTGTGTCCATTTATTTTGTCTGTTGTGAATTATGATGCTTAAATCGCTTGACTTCTCTCCCATCAAGGAAAGTTTGTCACTCATAGTTAAAGTGTTATGTTTTTTCTTGGTAAATTTGAACAAAGTCAAGTCAGGATTTACTCAGAATGCCTTTGAAGGAACTGGTATATTCACTGCTATTAAGTCTGCCTTTTATTCTGTACATTAGAATTAGAAACTTTCAGAGATTCTCAGAATGGCTAGAAAGGACTTTGGGGTTAAAGGGATTTTCAAATCAGCATGTGCAAACTGGTTATATTCTGCTGTGCTGAGGGACTCACTTTATTGACAAAAGTTGGGAAGTAGTCTCCCATATAGGCACAATTATGGAACATCTTTAAGTGTTCTATTATGGTGCCAGGGTAGGAGGACTGCCTTTAATATCATTTGGGGCTGTTTGTGTTTGGGGGTTCCTCACAAGGTAGTTATATAATGGATGAGTTTCAGGTTTTTATTGGCTAAGAGAATAAATAGCAAAAAGCAACATTGAATTCATCCAAGCTTTTCATGTACTTTATATTTTATTAATCACAGAAACTACATAATTTGAAAAGAGAAGTGCATGAATCTCAGCATATTTGTTATTTAGTCCACTTTTGGGTCAGTACCTCAGTAAGAGCCATTACATTAAAACGTCAGTCAGTCAGTCAGTCTACCAGTATACATGTAGTCTAGTCCTGGGGCATCACCCTGGACAGCAATGGGTTTGAAATCATGGAGCTTCTTATCCACTGGGGGAGCTAGACATAAGTACACTGTTATTAATTAACTGGTGACAAAGGTGGCAACTGGGGCAGCAGGCTGTGAGGGAGTATGTGACCTGACTGTGTAATTCCATGAGTGTGGGTGCTAAGGATTGCCTAGCTAGGGAAGAGATGTTTGAACTGAAACCTGAAAGATGAGCAGGAGTTAGATGGAGGTGGAAGGAAAGGACAGGAGTGAGGCAGGTTGCTAGGGACCTACAAGCCAGAAAGTGCCTGGAGGGTCTGTGGCCTTCTTGCTGGGTGTGGAAGAGAGAAGAGCAGGCAGCAGGTGACTGAGACAGAAGTCACAGCTGAGTCACGCAGGGCTCTTTGAACTTCATGCTAAGCACACCAGGAGCTGGAGGCTTTGAAGCAAGAAGCGACCTAATGAGATTTGTATGTGAAGGAAAACTGCAGTACAGCTTGTTGAAATGCTCCAGAGTTGGAATTGGTACTCTAAGAAGATGGTCTCCTAATAAATAGTGAGTAATGATGAGGAGGGGAAGAGGGAGGCAGGTCATTGCTGGGTACAATTCAGGTACTACAGGCAAGTACATATGAAAGATAGTAGGTAAAGAACTTAGATCTATTCCAGAGAACG